CAATTATTAGCTGGAACTTGACTGCTTTCTTCTGTTAGTAATTTAGTTTGAAAGAAATCAAAATTGAAACCGAAATTTATAAGTTTTCGCTTAAGCCAACAATCGCTTTGTCTGAGAATCGGCAGGGTGTCGATGTGAGTGTGGGTGTGGGTTTGGGTGTGGGTTTGGGTGTGGGTGTGGGTGTGGGTCAGTGTGGGTGTGGGTGTGGGTCAGTGTGGGTGTGGGTGTGGGTCAGTGTGGGTGTGGGTGTGGGTCAGTGTGGGTGTGGGTGTGAGTGCGGGTGTGAGTGTGGGTGGATGTGGATATCGATGCATTTTAACACTCGCACCCACACCCAACATGAAACGCGTCAGTGTTAAATAAAATCTGCATTATTTCTTATTAAATTTAATTCAAGCACATTATCAAAGTTATAAAAACTTTTAATCTGACTTAATCGGTTGCTGAAAAGCAAAAGTTGAAGGTAGCAGATTGATTTATATTACTTATAAAGATATAGATTGATCTGTTTTCAACTGTTTATTGAAACAAATTTTTGTACACACATTTATTGAATTAACATATGTTTTCATGGATAAATAAAACGATCTCTAACTGTACAGCTCTTGATAATTTTACTTTCTACTCATCCTCTCAAAAGCCTGCGTCTTTTTTACAAGGGTTTATCTAGATTAGGGCAATGTTATTAAAAGCAAACTGTCTAGTTGCGGAGATACTGCTGTCGACGATGATTCGCGTTGTTGTTGTTGAGCATGTGATCACCGCGATGATGCTGTTGTCGATTCATATTGTTTTGAATTTCAGCCGTATTCTTCTCTCGGATTGAATCGATCTCACGTGTCAAAGTAGTCAAATGACCAGCCGCTCCAGAAATCCATAATCGTTTTGACATCCATTGATTGTGGGTATCGTTTGTTTGTGTTGCTACACGTTCCTTGTTTGATCTTCGTTCTTCGACATTACTGTTCAACTGAGTATGCTTTTGATTCTGTTCATCGTACGTTCGTTGCTTATCGGTTAGTTGCTCGGAAATATTTTTAAACCGATCTTGGATAACTCTAAGCCGCTGTTGACTTTCGTTAACTTGACGTTCGACTGCCTGAAATACGAAAGAGACATAAGGTAAAAGTTGATTATCACCTGCAAAAGTAGTGAAACTCTTTCTCCAACACTGGCAAAATTACAGAAGAATATACTTCTACTTTTAATAAACTAGAGGCTCTTTGATTTTGATTCACTCTCTCAGAAATCTCCAATAGAAACAAAACGAGCAATCCTGATTGAATTGATACTTTCAGTACCTATGTAATTGTTCAATATCTTACAAAGAATGGAAACAGATATTGACTCGTATTTTGCTGCACAAAGAACAATCTCATAAAACTTAGTGCGGAACAAAAAGATGCAGCTCGCTCAGATATGGTTTCAGTTTAATAGGCATTGTTAGAATGAGATCATCTGATTTTGAGTGTTTGAATCCTTTTACGAAGCAATCGACACTCACTTGTTTGGCATTCGTCTGTTCTTGTGCTTTTCTTCTCATTTGTCCAATAGCAGCGTCTTTTTCTTGTAAATCTCTTCCATTCTTCATAATCTTTTCTTTGACCTGCTGGACTTGAGCTTTACGCTGATCACGCTCCTGGTTCTTCTTTGCAAGTTCTTGATGTTTCTGTTGCATTTTTCCTTCGGTATTTTGTATCTCAATATTCTTTCTGTTCATAGTTTCTTGTTGGCTTTCTAATTGTCGTTGGAAGTCTTGTTGTTGTTTGCTCAATTGTTGCTTTTGCTGCTGAGCTGCTTCAAGCTTCGATTTGATCTGTTGTTGTTCGGCTTTGAGCTTTTCACATTTGCCTTGTTCAGCACCCAATCGATTCTGTTGCTCTTTCTTTTCTCTGTCTAATTCGTCTTTCCTCATTTTTCGTTGGGCCAATTCTGACTCCAAAGTTGCTATACACTGTTTAGCAGTTGAGACAGTAGTCTGTTGAGTGGTGAGCTCATTTTGTTTCTTCTCGACTTCTTGTTCTTTTTGTTTTACTGTGGATTCTGCCTCACGATATGCTACGTTCTTTCCATCCAATTCTGCTTTCATCGTCGTAACTTTAGCTTCAGCTGCTTGCATTTTTTCTGTTGCTTCAGTTCTTACTTGTTCTGCCTTGGTCAGATTCTGTTGAGCGTTGTTAAGCTGATCTTTTATTGTTTTCAACTCGCCAGTAAGCGTTTGCAGTCGATCTACCTGTTTCTGTACTTGAGCTCGATGATCATTGACATCATTTGTCTTGGCCGTTTGTTCATCCTTGGCCGTTGCGAGTTTTGTAGTGAGATCAGTATGTTTGGTTGTAAGATCTTTGGCAATGCCTTGTTGTCGTTCTACGTGTTGTTTGGCGCTATTTTTGACTTCTATTTGTTGTTTCAATTCGTTCCGCTTCGTTTCCAATTCGCTCTTCTTGGTAGCTAGTTTCGCCTTAGCAGCGCTATTCTTAGAGATAGCTGTTTGATACGAAGTATATGTGTTTTCTCGCTTGGTGGTTGCATTCGATAAGTTGCCTTCCTTGTCACTGAGTGATGCTCGAGCCTGCGTTACAGCTGCTTCAGCGGCACCAACATTCGCCGTGGCATTACTATCGATCTTCATGTTATTGAGAGTAGCAGCCGCTTCGGCAGCTATCTGAGCTGCTTGTAATACAGCTTCGGCTTTTTGGAGTATTATTTTAGCCTCTTCCAGTTGGTTTCGAGCATTTTGTTCTTCACGCATGGCTTCATCATATTCTCGTTTTGTTTGACTTTCTTCTTGTTCAGCCTTATCAGCCTCATTCTGTGCTTCATTCAGCGCATTTTCTTGATCTTCGACCTCTTTTTGTTTCTGAAGTTCAGCTTCCTCTTCTTTCCGAAGTGTTTCGATGTTTTGATTAAGCAATTGAATAGCAGCATCGAGTTCTGTTTTGCAATTGGTCACTTCCTGCTCCAGCCGTTGTGTATTTTCGATGAGCTGTTGAAGTTCCTTTTCTTTTTCAGCAAGCAATTGATCGAGACGATTTTTTTCATTCGTAGCTTCGGTCAGTTCTTGCTGCTTAGCCTGAACATTTTGCGTAATCTTTTCGACTTCTTCTTTCGCACGTGTGACTTCCTGTTCAGCTTGTTCGACGCCTTGTCTGAAAAATAAAGTTTAAAATAGTCCTATTCAGAAGACAGTTACATGAGGCTTAACTGACAAACCTATCAACAACTATGCTTAGAATCAATACTGACCGTGGTTTTTTCGTATAGAATGTAGACCAAAGTTCGAAACTCCTATTGTATGGGAGCGTAGATAGTTTGAACTTGACGAAAGAAGATCAAAAAAAGAACTAAGATCGATTGTGCCCAAAGAAGAAATCAGTTAAAATCAATTATTTTAGATCATTCGATAATCATGAATTGTTTGTGCAATTAAAATCAATTAGAATGGACTTAGTTTAATTCGATTTTGTTCCAATTTGAAATCATATAAAACTGAATAAGACCGTTTTCTTTTCGTTTTCAAATCAGATTAAAATCAAATCAAAAGAATGTCCTTTTACTTTGCTTGTGAGTCAGAAACAATCGATTGAAATCAGTTTTTGGTGTTGCTTTTACATTAGTACGAGAATCGTAGATAGGAGTCGTGTCAGAAACTGTTGGGTATGGTAGAAAAGGCAGCAAAAACAGATTCGACAATTTCCAATCTAGAATACTGTTTTCATAAAATCAATGGATTTTTCAGCATCGACCGTTTTACTGCAGTATTCTCCAATAAAAAAACAGTAACAATAGCGAAAAATTCTTTGAAAGCGAAAGAAAAAGGAAGTATTCGTTAGTTTTTCTACTATTACAGAGCTAGGCGACCGTTGTACGAAAAAGGAATGCTTCAGTCGAATGAAAAGAACTTAACGATAGGGGAATTCTCTCTGTCTCTGTCTCTGTCTCTTTCTCTAGTCAAAAGGAGAAAGAAACTATCGGTTTAGTTCAGAATAAGTTTAAACAAATGTGAACGGTTTTATCAATGTTTTTACTGACTTGGTCTGAGTAAGTTCTTGTTCGGCTTGCTGCAGTTTTGCTTCACATTCGGCTACTTGTCTTTGGGCCTCAGCCAGTTTTTCTCGCTGATTTGCTAGTTCAGCTTTGACTGTTTCTAATTCAGTTTGCAATGTTCTGAGCGCTTCTTCGGCTGCTTGCAATTCCTTCTCGACCGTTTGTTTTTCTTCAGCCTTTTGCTGAATTTCCTGTTCGATATCCTTCTGTTGTACGTCCTTTTCGGCAAGAAGTTGTTCGACATGTCGAATATTTTCTTGAATACGAGCTACTTCGGCTTCGATTTGTTGTATAGCTGCTTCTAGTTCTTGCGTTTTGGCCGTTTGTTCGGCGATCTCTTGCTCAATTCGAGCGATTTCTTGTTGAGCTTGTTGGATTTGTTGAGTGAGTTGTTGGATTGTTTGTTGAAGTTGAGCGAGCTCTTGGCGAAGTGCATTGATCTGTTGTTCGAGTTGTGCTTGTTCGGATTCAAGCTTAGCTATTTGTTGATTGATCTCTTGCTGTTCGTTTTCAGCGGTGCGCAGCGCTTCGGCGAGTTCTTGTCGTTGTTGTTCGATGAGTCGTTTTTCGTTTTCGAGTATTTGCATTTGATTTTCGATTTCGCGTACTTTCATCTTTTCCTGTTCGAGCGCTTGTTGATGTTGAGTGAGGGTCGCTTGAAGCTGATCACGTTCGACAGCAAGTCGATGTTCGGCGTCTCGCAACTTTTGTAGTTCTTCTTGGATGCGTTGGACTTGCTGCGTGAGCTGCTGGAGTTCAGTGATGAGCTCATTCAACTCCTGCTCAGCTTTTTGCTGTTCTTCGCGAAGTGTTTCAATTTGACGATCAAGTTGTTCAAGTTCCATCTCGGCATCCCGAATAGTTTTGTGCAATTCGCGTACTTCATCTTGAATCTCCCGCAATCGTTGTAGATCAGCCGTATTGATGGATTGATCTTGTTGCTGTTCTTCCAGTTGTGACATGTCGAGCATGGCACTCCCCATTGCCACTGGAATGGCTTCCTGCAAATGTAAACCATGAAAAGTAACTTTTATGCGTTCAGATTTCGTGATGAACAGTTTGTTTCATGAAGAACTGCTGAAAGACTGGTCAACTGGAGGACTTAACAATCTTTCCATGTGAACCAGGGTTTAGAGAGCTCAATCAAGATCCTGAATTTTGCTGCTTTTAGGATACGTTGCAGAGACAAGATTTTTATGTTTTGACGTTAATCAATTTAAAAAAGCTTGTTAGCGCAGCCCCTTTGGGGCTGAAACATAGAACTCACAAATACACTCTAACCTCATTAAACTAATGCAAAATACGTAAAGTGATAAATCTCTAGTAGACTATAGCTGTCTTGCAGAGTGATCGATGTCTAGAATAATGACCTCTCTAATTTCTCCATTTCGAACAGGATTTTTTCATTTTTCTCTACGAGCACCCTATTTTTGCTTGCATTGTTGCTATTCGGTCATTATTTTTCATTTTTTTAAATTGGTTTTTCTTAATTTAACATTCTTATTATTATAATTATTGAACTGATTGACAAATAAGTCTGTTTTACAAATTCATGATATCTACAGCATGTCTTATGCAATAGCATATTTATTAATCAACTCACAAATAATGATATTCATTATTTTTCAAAATTATGACTTGATCAATTTTCCAAAAAAAGCACTTGAAAATCTGATACCTTTTATTATTGGTTGCTAAGGTCTGTAATGGCGGCCTACGTTGCTAACTGTCTGTAATGGAGAAGGGAGGGGGGGGGGGCGGCAGCCGCGAAAACTTGACCTTAAGACTTACACTCACTATTTTCTTCGAAAATATATGTGAGTTCCACAAAATAGTGAAGTTTCGACTATACATTAAATTCCTACTAAGTGGTGTGAATGACAGTGATACTTATCTCTTTATTCTTCCCACTAGTACTAATTTACCCTTATCTTCACACCTATCTAGATCAGATCTAGCTACCTTCAAGAAGAAACAGTTAATTTAAACTGCTCTAAACCATCATCAATCACTTACAACCACTGAGAATCGCGGATTTTGATTCTTAAATAATGTTTCGTAGAAGACGTCTAGAATGAAACTAAATCAAATGTGTTTGCTTTAGTTCTTTGAGTAGTCAGTGGAGAACTATATTTACATGATGAATAGTTGGAAAAGATTCTGAAATATTTTTGTATTATTTGATTCAAAGAGATGAAGTACTAAATTCTAAAACATTCTTGGTTGGATAGCTACCAATGAAACTCAGTAAATTTTGAGAAACGGTTTGGCGAAGAGTCTCTATAAATACAATTCAATCTGAAGATATGTTGAAATCTGTCGATAGATATTGAACTGGCGAAAATCGATGATTCATCGGACCTTTATCTTCTAAACCAAACTTGTTTTTGCTGATTCTTCTCGTTTCTTATTCGATCACGATATGAGATCTTGTGGAAATCTTATAGCAAGTGAATTTTCTCTATATATTTACCATCATTTTTCAATTCATAAAAAGCTTTATCTATTAATCAAATAAGATGAACAGTGTGCTTTAGTGAAAACCAGTATCATCATTAGTTCAAGACAGAATTTGTCGAGCTCCGCGACCTAAGTTAAACTGAAATCTTCAAGGAAAATGTCTTAGTTTCGAAAAGCACCAAAAAACAGGAAAATCATGATTGATTCAGAACGATTTTGAAAATTAAGAAAAAGTTCAGGAAATTAGAAGTACTGAGAGGCCAATCGCTATTCCTTACTGAATAAAATAGATTGACACATGAAGCACGCTTACCTTTTTGGACTCAGATTGGTTTTCTTTTTGTTGCTGCCTTGCTTGGTCAGCCAAAGTTTTTGGTGCTGCAGCAAACGTCCCACCAGTTACTTGTCCTGCAACAAACGCGCCAGCTGTGTGTTTCAGTCCCTCAACTCCTGCCTCGCGCATCACTTCTTTGGCAGCCGTACTTCCAACAGAGCCCATCCCGCTTCCAATTGCTGAAAATCCTAAATCAGTTACAAATCGTTGGGCAGACACGTCACCAACTTGTTTTCGAACTTCTGGATCATTGATGTGTTTGCTAATTCCGTGTTCAGAACCAATGCCGACTGCATTGCCAGCAGCAGCTCCGGCCATCGCACCAGCAGGCCCACCCACAATTCCTCCAGCTATCGCTCCAGCCGTTGTCAATGTAGCATTGGTGGCGTTAGCAGCTGCTCGTTTTGCATGTTCTTGATTGCCAGCAATTGCATGAACGGCTGACACACCATAACCTGCCACTGGTACCTTTTCAACAAACTTTGTAACCGCTCCATCTTTGCTAAATGAGCTGCCCATGACTTTTCACTGTGAACTAGAAGATAAATTATACAGAAGAGAAACGAATATTCTAAGAATGTTCATACGAATTCGATGATGAATTATTACTTTTTTGAAAATATAATTTTCGAAAAATCTATAAATTTAAATTTTCATTTTCTACTAGTTAGAAAGTTAACAACAAATTCATTTAAATATAGAAATAAGTGAGTAGAGGACTTCAGAGGGGGTGAAACTCAGAGGCGGAGTAAGACATGAACTTCATCGAAAATTAGAATTCGACATTTGTTTGTACAAAGATTTATGCTTATTTTATCAGAGGGATATTATCTCAGTGCGGAAATTCAAACTTCTAGTATGATTATTTATATGTTGCGACACAGAGGATAGTTTGACACGATTGATCACCTGAAATTTACTTTATAGTATTTCAAGTGAATGTGTGAAAAGTCATTTTTGAATAGGATATACACTTTCATTGAGTCTCACGCAACAGAGAAAAAGTGCTAACAGCTTAGAATCATACGAAACTTTGTACCTGAATTAAAGCACACGTGTGATCGGTGAAATCCGAAAGTGAATAATAATGAATTGATAGACGGTTAGAATAAATGATGCAATTATCTGAAACAAAATAAACGTACGATGAAAATGTATAATAAGAAAATATAGATAAAGATAGCGTCACATATGTATACTTCCTTGTTTAGGCTTACGACTTCTCAAAGTTGGGCATATGTTCAAGATTATTGTCAAAGCTCTCACTTGAAATGTATTTATTCAACAACTGTTATTAGAAAAGAATGTATTACTAGAAAACATACTAAATATGAAAATAATTTTATCGGACGTGCTTTATTATATTCAACATTAAATTGTGTTAAGATCTCGTTTTTTATATACGAACGACAGAATTAAAAAAACACACCTAACAAAATTATTTTAACTTATTTTTCAATACAACATCTTTTAATAATCATATCAACTAAAATAAATAAAATCTGGGTGATAAATTAGATGTTACTCCTTAAAACTATATTTTCAATCTTTCTCTAACTTTTAATGATGATAAAAATCAACAAATTTCAAATGAATCGAAAACTTATCAAAAACTATATGTATAAACAAAACTTCTCAGGAGTACTTAAGAGAGGATTCGTGAGAGCACTCAGCAATTTTATCTGGACCCGGCCGCCAAGAAAATTTTGATTTTCGATTTAGGTATCTTAAATGAAAGGTCTAATCAAACTATAGACAAATCCAAAATATTAGCTTTTTCTGACTTCCTTATGAAAAACGGCATAGTATACAAGTGATATCCCTTCGGGACCTGGTCAAAAAGTCAGTTTTTTAGGGTGACCTTAGTATTTTTTACTTTTCTCTGCATCCGCTCATTCGTTCGAGCTCGGGGACGTTTCAAACGATGCAGAAATGTTTTTTCTACAAAATTTGGTAACTCATTATACTGTATAATACCATTCGTCAAGTGGTAATTTTAACACACGAGCCACAATGACCATTAGCTAAAATCAAGATTTTCTAGTATTTTGATTCTAGCCACACTGGATCATTCAATCCCAAAATTATTTATACATTTTCTAAAAGCCTTTGAAACTCTGCATCGTATAAGATATTACTTCAAAAGATTCAAACATCAGCGAACAAAGTTTGTCCATGGCACAAACGTTGGGGGGTCATGACCATCACTATTAACTCGGGCCCCTAATCACGATACTAAATATTTTATGTTTATCAAAATCAGAAATATGACTTCAGATTCGTGATCAGCATAAAAAACTGGGTATAAAAATGTTATTTGATTGAATACAAATTTAATCAAGTAAAAAGATTATCCCATAAAGTACAATTAACTCAAGTATATTTCCAAGTATATATTTATAGATATATTTATAAACCCGTGGAATCAAATTTTCTGTCTCATTTAGAATCACTGGTCTCTTAGCTGCAAAATTATATATGCATCTGTTTTAGATTGCTTTTTATTTTTGAGAAAACTCGATTGCCCTTGATGCTATTCAGAAAACCATATAAAACTGAATAAATTGTATCCATATGCGGTAGGTTTTATTATTCTAATTTATTATAATATAAAAACGAATAGCGTATTCAGAATCAGCGTGAAAAACTGTGCCGAATAAAATATTTTGGAAAACTTTTTTTCGATGAAAAATCGACCTGTGGTTCCCCTCAGGGCCACTTTTTCCAAAATATATGCTATTCAGCGTAGTTTTTCACGCTGATTCTGAATATGCTATTCATTTCTATATTAGAATAAACTAGAATAATAAAACCTACCGCATATGGACACAATTTATTCAGTTTTATATGGTTTTCTGAATAGCGTCCAGGGCAATCGAGTTTTCTCAAAAATAAAAAGCAATCTAAAACAGATGCATATATAATTTTGCAGCTAAGAGACCAGCGATTCTAAATGAGACAGAAAATTTGATTCCACGGACTTATAAATATATCTATAAATATATACTTGGAAATATACTTGAGTTAATTGTACTTTATGGGATAATCTTTTTACTTGATTAAATTTGCATTTAATCAAATAACATTTTTATACTCAGTTTTTTATGCTAATCACGAATCTGAAGTCATATTTCTGATTTTGATAAACATAAAATATTTAGTATCCTGATTAGGGGCACGAGTTAATAGTGATGGTCATGACCCCCCAACGTTTGTGCCATGGACAAACTTTGTTCGCTGATGTTTGAATCTTTTGAAGTAATATCTTATACGATGCAGAGTTTGAAA